TGTGAACAAAGCACACACTTAAGACCATCATGTAGATATGTCTTTTAGAACCATGGAATACCTTAATAGTCTAGTCAATGGATGGGAAGAGCCACTTACCTCAACTTGATGCATTCAAGGAGTCTGAATGGTTCAGCGTAGACGATAAGGTGTGCGAGCCTTAAAATTAGCTTCCCCATGTCACTTGTAGTGCACATAAAATCCAAATGGTGTTAGAATTTAGCATCATAATAATCATAAACTATTGGAATTGATGATAGTTTCAGTTTCAACCCAATGTCTCGATGACCAAGGTGAGTATGCCAAGTTTTTCATGTACAAGACATTTTGGAAAACTATCTTGGGCACAACATGTACTACGGGTTTTGTAGTATGTGTAGTACAATCCAGATGATACACAGAAAATATGCTTGCCATATCCGTTGCATATGGTAAAGAGAATATATTTCTCTTTCTTGTCAGCATAAGTTTCGCTATGGAAACCATTTTGAGAATATCTCTATAGCTTAATAGGGTACGAGTTAAACTTGAAAAGCAATGAAGCATCCTGATGTTACTTAAGTACCCACAAGGATAGTAAATATGACTCGAGTTGAGCCAAAAAATACCTCATCGCATCTAGCAATTTTAAAATATCTCCTTTCTCTCAATGAGAGTGGAAACATTGGACTTCCCTGAGTATAGAGTTTGTGGTGCATATGCCCACAAGGCACATATCGTTTTTCGTCGGATTGACTCCCGTAGAAATCTATATATAGACATGAAGATTCTCAAGAAAATCACTGTGATATATAGAATACATACAAATGAATTTGTATCAAAGTGCTGATACAATATATTGTGATATACAATATATGATGACAACAATAATCATGTTCTTATTAGAACATCATAAATGGACATAAATAAATAGATCACTAAGGAGACTAAGGGACTAAATGTATAGTCTCCAAACATATCGGCTGATGCATATTCAACCATCATGCTCTCCATGCTCATAAGGTCTCGTGACAGCTTGATGGTGTCAGGTTGAGGGTTTGAGGTGAGTTTCAAACCATTACCCTTGAGGTCCTCTGCATCCCCGTGGCGTGGCTTGGATTGCACATGCTATCCCATGGAATGCAAGGCTGATCTTGATGTCCATGACCCGCTTAAGTAAGTTGTGGCCATTGAAGGCAAGTGCCTCAAATTGTTAGCCATCGATTACTTATAGGGGCAAGCCAGAGATAATTAATTTACAAGAAGTAAACTAAAAACCATCATGGTTTTGTAATAAGAATGCAAAAATTTGACTCAAGTGTATAACTTGAAAATGCTCAACCTCAATTGTGGGAACATAAACACATTGAAGACATACAGATCTCACAGTAATAGAGATAGTCTACACATGGGCGGTAGATCCAACTCATCACCTTGTGTCTTCCTAATATAATGAGGGAGATGTTATTGTCAAAATTTTACAAGTTTGTTGTGCGGGAGAAATCAATCTCGACCGCTGTGACATGTTCATGAAGAATGGCAATGTGGTAAACACATAGAACATATCATCTCCGGTGAAAAACCGGTAATTTATTTATATTGCAGATTGCGTAATATAAATACATCTTAATGTTGCAAAATTAATAGATTTCAAGGTGGCTCGAAATCATTAGTGTCTCAAATTGCTAAGGATGACACCTTAAATTTTGCATATGTATTTGCAAGAAATAAAAAAACTCAATTGCAAATAGATGTATTATTCTCGACATGTGTTTAACATGAAAATAGATACATCATAGAAATATTCCGGAATACTGCGTACTCAACAGAGAAACAGTACTGCAGAGGTACTGAATTTATCTTTGCAAGAGATTAAAAATCTCTATTGCAAATGGACGTAATTAATCTCAACACGTGATAAACGTGAAAATGTATTACATCAACTTAAGATCTGGAATACATCTCGGTACTCAACAGAAAAACACTACTAATATAGTGAATAATAATGATATTGCAAACTTGATGTTCAAGTGAAACACTTGAATTGTATAGATCTCAAATTAAAATGAGAAGATCTTGTATCAAGTTGCAAGATAATTCAGCGAGGTGAATTAATAATTTGCGAGAGAAAACTAATCTCAATCGCTATGAGATTGTTTTGCGAGAGAAAAAACTTTTTTTTCTCAATCGCTATGAGATTGTTTTGCGAGAGAAAAAGACTTTTTTTTCTCAATCGCAAATCAATATTGTTATGCGAGAAAATTTAATCTTCAATCGCAAAACAATGTTGTTGACCCGATAAAACATGTTCCCGGAAGCTAAATTAGCAAACAAATTGAACATGTCAAGCATTAACGGCCATGTATCTCTGGAATTTTAAATTCAACAGAAATAATTTAAATGCAGATCTGGCCTAAACATGACAAATGCTAATGAATAGCAATAGTAGTCAGAGCAAGCTTCAGTTTACGCTAAAGCTTTCGAGTTTCAGATGCAAAATCTCCCTAGAAACTGGTTTTGGTTGATTCTGCAAATCGTGAAACACTAGGGACCTTATCAAAACATGGCAAAGGATAAGGTTCCCTATCCTCCATCTCTCCCGAGCTGTTCCTGAAAGGGATTTCTCCCACAACCGCTACTGGGACAACGCCCGCACGGCCGCCATGGCGCGCTCCCGTCGTCTGCCGTCGGGGCTGCCTCTGCCGGGCTAGGGATCGCGCCGCCTCGCTGCGACGTATGGCATTGCCTGATGCCCCAGGCCGGACAAGGCCATCTCCACCGCGCCGAAGGGCCACCGCTGACAGACACCGCTGCTCCACCGTTCACGCAGCGGGAACCGCTCCGCGCCGAGGCGGGAGTTGCCCGGAGCCGGCAGCCGCTGAGGGCGCCGTTTCCGCAGGGAGCAGCGGCGCCAGCGAGGACGACGTCCGCCGCCCACCGCTTGGAGACGAGCCAGAGGGCGCTCTGGGGTCGTGGTCGCCTGGAGTCGGCGACGGCAGGAAGCAGCACTGCGTGTCTGCGGCGTTGTCTGGCCGCTGCCTCGGGCTGGCAGCCGCGCCAGTGAGGGAAGATCGCTGTCGGCCGCTTCCGGGTGGGTCGCGTCGCTCAGCCGCTGGTGCGCCGCAAGGAGCACCACCACGCCGGGAGGCCGCGGTCGCGAGTGCCGGCGCACCGCAAGGATGCAAGCCGTGCGACACCGCGGGCATGGCCAACACCGCGGCAAGCGCGAACGCGAGCGTTGTGGAGGTTCGCCTAGGACCGGCGACCGCGAGTGCGACGACAACATCGTGGTGGTGGAGATGGGAGGGCAGCCTCAATGGCCACCACCGCGAGGATGAAGATGGCGTCGCAGTTTGCCGTAGTGACACCGGCTTTGGGCTCACCTTGCTGTGCAGAGGGGTCGCCGACTTGCCGCTAATTGTTCTTCTGTGCTGATAACGTGTTTCGAGTAGGACGAGAGACAACGAGAATGATTCAAGTGTCACTTATTCAATTGACAATCACAGTATATATACAAGGAAACAGACGCGAACGAAGAGATGCGTCCGTTAACAGGGGCGCGAGAATGGGTCGCGACGGTTGCAGAAACAACCGCACGAGGTATTACATAGGGAGGATTATCCCTTTAATTAAGAGAATTAATTAAATCCTAACAACAGCGAAGGCGCTCGAGTACCCAGCCAGACGTGTTGTGGGCTGTCTGCCTTTCTGGCGTGTTTGTGCTGCTTTAAGCCAACTCTTGCTTGGGCGTTGTTGTATGTCTTTGCCTGGTTTTCATCAATAAACTGTGCAACCCCCTTTTTTCCTCCTCCTTTTTAGCACTCGTCTTATGCGGTGCACTCCTCCAAATTCATTTATAATACCTCTTTCTGATCAATGAATTTGACGTCTTACGAGGTGCATTCCTCTTTCTGATCAATGAATTTGGCAGCTCTCCTGCCATGCCAACATTCAGAAAAAGGAAAAAAAAACAACTCCACAAACTCCCGTGAGCACAACTTCAACATTGATTCTCTCAAAACTAACTGTGGGAGCTTCTTCAGCACGCACTAGCTATCTCAAGTGTTTGACCAAACGTTTGACCAAACAATCCATTGGTAAAAAAAAATCATGGCCAAAATATTTAGATACTGGATGGTTGATGGGAGCTCCTGTGCTATTCCTCAAACTCTGGTAATTCATCGAAGTAGGGTAGAAGATGTATATTCAATGCCACTCCCCGAACTTCGGTAATTTGTTCGAGGGCAAACCTTGGTTGATAGATACCGTTGATGAGGAGAACCACAAGTTTTGGAGCTAAGTATTAATCCAAGATACTGGGGGGTTATGGGAGCTAATAGTGTATATCTTTATTTGACCGTGGGGCGGCGGGCAACTTGAACCTACCTTGGGGCGACTGGGAGTTTTCTATATTTTTTTGAAAGAAAAATGAGAGTTTTCTTTCTGAGTTTACTGTGCTCAATTCATACCCGTTTGAAATCAAACGATACTCAATAAAAACACACCGTTTGATATCCTATACAGAACAACAAATCAATGTGAAAATTGAAAACTAGCATGATGGTGTAACTGGGTATGAATAGTAACAAAGAATTCAAATGATCTGTAACCGCTCAGAAAGAACAAATTTTCAGATACAACGATGGTATCACGGAGCAAAACCTAAAAGGCTACATAGGCCGGGAATCAAAACGATGTTATCACAAAGCAAAAGCTATGAGCTCGTGTTGTTGCCATCAGATGGCCATTTTGAGTGGTGATGGGCAGGCCAAATGAGTGTGCATTTTATAATAAAAGTCTCACAAACAGACAAGCACGGCATGAATCAAAATGAACCTTCACAACGGAAATAAGATTCTCACAGCATTTAGATAGAACAGCTCATTGTGCATAACGAAATTATATAGCTAAACAGAACCAAATACTAGATATATAACTGGTTCAAAACAAGGGAGACAGCTCGATGGACATGCCATCAGATGGTCCGTACTGATTTCTTTCAAAGTAGAAAGCGGCACAACTCATTTAAGAGGGATGAACCGGGAAGAGTGTGTGGCACCGATACCGGGCCTACCGTGCTTCACTGGCTTGTAGGAGATAGAGAACTCTGCAAGGTAATGGCCAATCATCTCAGGCTTAATCTCAACCTGGTTGAAGGTCTTGCCATTGTAGACACCGATAAGGCTGCCAATCATCTCAGGGACAATGATCATGTTGCGGAGATGTGTCCTCACTGGCTCAGGCTTCTCACCAGCAGGAGCATCCTTTTTCTGTTGAAGACCAACAAAACAGATTGTCAGGTAACTACATGTTGGCAAAATAAGAAGCTATAGACTAAGCTAGTTTTCCATCCTTAACTAACACTTTCATCCAGCCTCCCCCTCGTTTTTGCTTTTGCTGTTTTTTACTGGTTTTTGTCAAAAACCAACACTACTTAAAAAAACATCTACTTATCAAATAAAATCATGTTTCAAGGTAAGCCAATAAATATCTACTTACAGAAAATATAAGGTTCCATCTTATATTTACTTCAATTTGACAACCCCAACTCTTCCATTCAGTTGGTCAGCTTCTAATTTATGAAATAAAATCATGTTTCCTTTAGTAAGTGAATAACTACTGATCCAATTGGAAGCTAAAATACATTTTCAGTGTGCAATTGCATTAAGAAAACAAATGGTAAATATATGTTCCCCTCTGCAACGCACAGGCAATTATATAGTATTGCATAGAAATGCAGCTATAATACAGTGAGACTTGCAACATTACCATGGAAAGAATGAGAAAAGAGCATATTCTCCTTTTTTATGTTAGCAGCTCAGAAGCATGTTATTTAAGTATAATAGCCAGCGTTGCTAGTTATGAATGCACCACTGAAGTTCATATGGTAGAACAAAAGTAGTCAGCTCACATAGTCTGAACTAATTTCAAACTCAGATTATGTGAAGATGGAAAGATCAAAGGGTCTTTTACATTTGTGTCCCTAACTCGAACCCACTAATCGGATTTGCCCCTAGTTTCGAAGCATGCTCAAATTTGCCCCTCTGCCGTTATGTGCCATTACAGAAATGCCCTTCCGTGCCGTTTCCGTCTGGTCAAAGGGCTTTGACCGTTTTCCTAACGTTTAATGGACATTTTTGCCCCTCAATGCACATGCCACTTACAGGTGGGGCCTACCCCGGGAAAAATAACTCTCTTTCTCTCATCCCCTCTCTGACTTACACATCGGATCTAAATCCTGAGAGCGCGTGAGATCTTCTGCCGGCGACGCCGTTGCTAGCCACCGCGGCCGGAGTCCAAATCGAGCAGCACGAGCATGTCCATGAGCTTTGGCGGGCGCCTCTCCTTCGTCCTGCGCAATGGATCTGGCCTGGGGCTGCCCGTAGACGACGCCCGGGACGTCGAACTCCGCCATGGCCATTGCTCTTCCCGTCCTAAATTCGGCCGCTCTAAGCCATTCTTGACCTACCCGACCCCTGTTCCGTCGTCAAGGAAAGCAGGTGCCCCTACTCCGCTCTTCCCCCGCCCGATTCCGTGCCCGGAGCACCCTGACAGAATCCGGCCGCCATGACCAACCTTGGTTGGCTCGGTCGTGCACGCGCCCATCTACACCCTGCCGCTCCTAGTGAGCTTGGCGCGTCTCGCGCAACTTGCGTGCCTCGCGCAGTAGGCGCCGTCCTCCCACGATCGCCCTCCTCCCCTACGGCGAGCCGCCGGCGAGCGCAGGCGCTCACGGCCGGGAACGCATGGACCGGGGGTGTTTACCCTCATAGTGGGTCCAGTCAAGAGGAGATGGATGAGAGAGATTTTTTTTGTTTTTTCCTGGGTAGGTCCCACCGGTAAGTGACTGACACACGGGAGGGCTGAGTTGGCCTAGTTTTCCTTTTATTTTTTTAGAGGGGGTCCCGCATGTAAGTGTCACATGGATTCAAGGGCAAATTGTCCAGCTAACGTCCAGAAAACGGTCAAAGCCCTTTGACCGGACGGTAACGGAGCGGAAGGGCATTTCTATAAGTGCACATAACGGCGAAGGGGCATTTTTGAGCAGGCTTTCGAATTAGGGGTATATCTGATTAGGTGGTTCGAGTTAGGGACAGAAATGCAAATGGCCCAAGATCAAATGCATAGCACCATAAACGCTTACACAACAACATACAGCATAGTGAGGAAACCTGACCTTGCGACAGAAAAACACCACATTTTATCTTTACTCTTACAAAGATCTGAGTTGTTGGCAATCCATTCACCAAGTTAATAGAAGTTGACACATTTCTCAACCATTCTATGGAGACAAGAGTTTATAGTTTTAGACAACCCAGGACCTATGATGGCACAAGTGTTTAAACTTGCAGACGAAAACAAAAAACATTGATAGCAACGCACAAGCATTTAGCCAATAGATCCTAAAGATTGTTGCAACAGACATAAGAGGCACCTGAATTAACAGCATGTGCTCGAGTAACTAAATGTCTATTTCCCACTACCAATCAGCACATGCCCGTAAGATTAACCTTCTAATAAGAGAAAAGAATGATAACAAGGTAGTAGACTAGGAGTAACTTAAGTTATATCAGTCAGAATGTTCATAAAACGGAAACAAAGAAAAAGGACTGGGCAACTCACCGCCTTGCGCAGCTTCTTGACGAGCGCCATGGGCTTCCTCTTGAGACCCCTCTTGAACCTGCCCGAGCACGCAGCGATTCATCCACATCAGACGAAGGACAACAACCAACGAAACTCGAACGCGCGAGATGCATAGACAACAGGTACCTTCTGCGGGCGCGAGCGGGGAACATCTGGACAAGGTCGTCAGTGGACATGTCGAGGAGGGCATCGAGATCCACGCCACGGTAGCTGAACTTGCGGAACGTCCTCTTCTTCGGCTGCGCGCCCGCGGCCACCTCCGTGTCAACGTCGACGTCCGCCTGGGGACACGTAACATCGATCCACGTTACGAGAGCGACATGGACGGGTTAAGAGATGATGCATGGATTCGAACTCACCATGGTCGGGTCGGCTTCGAGCGGGTACGGAGCGGCGGCGGCGGCGAGGAATGGGAAGCTGCGGCTTCTAGGGTTCTGAAGAAGGTTTGTGAGTGGGAGCTTATATATATAGCTCGGCGTGGTGATTCATTTGGGCTAGGCTGGTAAATGTTTGGGGTTCACGCATCGCCCAAACATGGGCCGACAGCCCATTAGGCGGTGCGATTTGACCTGTTAGCCATTCTCGAGATCTTTTATGCTCGTCCTCGCCACTAGAGGAGCGAGGGGGTTCTTGAATTTATACTTCTTATGCCGCACCAAGAACTACCTATATTAGGTTGCCAAAATACAAGTGAATTAATCGTGATAACCACCTGGTATTTATGGTGGGAGAGACGCATGTTGGTTCATGAAGGGAAATCTCAAGAAGTGAATCAGATTTCGATGGGCATTCGTGCTATAACTGCAAACTATGTGAATGATACCTTGCGTGGTGCTGCAGGAACTGATTGCAATATAGTTTGATGAAATTTGATTGTTTGAAAAATGAATATTTGAGTTATAAATATGAGGACTGGCCGAAGAAAATATATGATTTATTGTATATAATTATTGAGGTGGACCTTCCATGCATGGTGAGGTGGTCATTTTCCAAGGCATATAGTATGGGCACTCACCAACATACTGAGAAAATAGAAGATACCGCGGGCATTGTGGTAGGTATCCTTGATAAATATATATTCTGAGTTGAGAAACACACAAAAGTTTGCCACTACAGCAAAACGAAGGAAAGTTTAGCATGCATAGTTTAGTAGTTGCAACATGACATATATTCGTTTTAGTTAATTCTCAATATTTAAAGCAAAGGAATAAATCATCGGGAGTCAAAAGGGGTACTAATCTGCATACACAACTTTTTAATCATGAGAAAATATCTAATTATCTATGGTGGTTAAATTGATTAAGCTAATTATTATAATATGCTAAAGGATTGATAAATCACATCATAAAAAAGTATGTAGTTTTGATTGCGATCCCGTGGCAAGCTTGTATGGGAAGGAAGAATAGTTATTTGGGATAAATCTTACCATTTTAGGATAGGACATAGGGTTGTGTCATGTCAAAAAAAACGAGATATCTTTGTATCACTACATTATGGGATGTTAGGTCTCCAAAAAAATAACTAAATGGCATGCAAAAACAAAGATAGTTATAGGCTTTTATGAACATAATCAACAGTTAAGCAAAGTCTCACCTCTTGTCTTTCTTTCCATACCATTTTATTCTGCTGTAAAAAAAAGCAAACTATAGTCTTTGATCCCAAATAAAAATAACACATAGTGGGCACATCAATAAAGAAACAAACATTATGAAGGGTACACATAGAGATAGTTGATCAAGAGGTAAGCACGAATGAAATAAAATGAACTGCAGTATATAATTCCAAGTGAAAAGAACACACGCTGGGCACATAAGTAAAGAAACGAATGTTGTTGGGAAACCAGAATGAGCTGATATCCACGTACACGTGACATTACCGTTAGATCATATAAGAGGTAACAGGATTATCTATAAATTATACTCCCTCCATTCCAAATTACTCGTCGTGGTTTTAGTTCAAATTTAAACCGTCGTGGTTTTAGTTCAAATTTAAACTAAAACCACGATGAGTAATTTGGAACGAAGGGAGTACTTGTCAATAACCCTGCAGTAAGGTAGCAGGCATGACTTGATCACTGGGATCAGGGTAACTATAGAATATCATGGTTTGCGAAGAAAACAGTCTATACCATCAGACCAAATATATGTGTGCTAGTAATAGTGCAGACTTAATACCAAGTAGTAATACATAAGGAGCATTAGTTATTAAACAACATTCTTTGTTGCTAGCTTTTCTTGTGGGAAGCAAGAGAGATTGCTTTGGATTACGAAAATAGAAACACCTTCTATCTGGTAGTTGTTGCCTTCCTTGTGGACGCACCTGCAAGCATATGGGACAATGAAAATAAACTAAAACATGGGACAGATAAACAATCACTGGATGTACAACTCAAGACTTCCGAAGAGAGGTTTCACGCTACAGATCCAAACTGGGAAAAATTCTATAATGGAAAAGGTCTCATCCCACCAAAAAGATAAAGAAATTAAGGCAAGCAAATAAAATATTCACAAATTAGGGGAAGAGAGATGCATGGGCTGGAAAAGTTTACTGCTCCTCCCATGACCGCCAAGTAGAGCAGTATGGCAATAGTCCAGCCAGGAATTTGGAACCACCCAAATATAGGCCTAACCAGCGGCACACTCTGTTGACACAAACCTAATATGTGAGATTTAATAGTGAGAGGGGAGGAAGTAAGATTACCTGAGGAGATTAAGGTGGGGAAGAGGGAGAGTTGACAGGAAGCCAGTATTACATTGGCGATGTTATCGGGAGTCAGGGTATAGGCTTGCCGGTGGCGCCTTACATGGAGAATGTGTTTGCGGTGTCTGTCCGTGTAATAGTAGACGTCGTCATTACCAGTGAAGCTCATCTTATGGCTGCCGCCGCAGCCACTATTAGTAGAATTGGTAACCTGTAGATGAGTCACGAACCTAAATCTAGACAGGATGATATGGTTGTGGGCTGGTCATCTGCGTTCAGGAGGTGGAAGGCGAGCAGAAAATATAATGATGGAGGGGATGGGAGGGAAGGAGTCGTGAGTCATGAGTGTCAAACTGTAGTTGGTGGACAGAGAGTTGAGGCGATGAGAAGAAGGGTCGTGAAGGGGAAGAGGCGATGAGAAGAAGGGTCGTGGAGGGAAGGGGAAGCGTGTAATCTGCCAGATTATTCTGTCTATTCGGTTGGAAAAAGAATGTGTAATTATAACTAAACAACCGAGGTGTCACTATGATGATGTGGATAGCTTGCATGCTTAGATAAATAAGGTAGTGGGGGCGAACTTCTTAGGTATATAGGATGCCCACTCCCTTAGTGCGACTAGTAGAAAAGAAGGATGGAGCCGACCTTCTATAGGTTTTGTTAAACTAAATGTTGATGCTTTTTTTGACCATGATCTGCTCAGGGGCACGGCAGGTGCAGTGCTCAGAGATGACAAAGGAAACTTCATTACTGGCGGAAATTGGAAGATCGATTGGTGTGCTGATGTACTAACAACAGAAGCGATGGCTCTTAGGTTTGGTTTAATTCTTGCACAAAAGGTGGGATGCAATCGTCTTATTATTAACTCTAATAATATGGAAGTCATTGACACAATGAAGAATGGAGGACGATCGGCGGGAGTCACGGCGGCAGTATTCGAGGATTGCTACTTCATGGCATGCGATTTTCCGTTGACTAGATTGGAACATTGTAATAGGGTAGCTAATAAGGTTGCTCATGAACTTGCTAGGCTAGCGAAAGCTTCTGTAACTAGAGATTGGTTTGAGGAGCCTATGGAGAATATTGTACCTCTTCTTATAGATGATGTAACTATCATTTCCAATTAATAAAGTGGATGTTTTCTTTCAAAAAAGAAATGCTAATCCTATTTGGGGCAAAATCTGGAAACTATATTGTCCGGCAGAGGTAAAAAAATTCATCTGGCGTACATTGCATGGAACTCTCCTATGTCGTGTTATGCTTGTTAGACCTTTCAGCCTGAGCATTGATAGTTGTGGATGACACTAGGAGAGTTGGGACAATTTTCGTTGGTTTATTTCTCACACAATGCCATGCCAACCTGAGGGGTTGGGGATACATATTTATAGGCTGCGAGCCAGCCAAGGCATATGCTAAGATGCTGCTAAGATGCCAGTCTAAGATGCTAGTCTAAGATGCTAGTCTAAGATGCTAACTGACAGTCCTTGATGGTCAAGAACAGAACTCTATCCTAACAGCCAGTCCTTGATGGTCCAGGACTTTATCCTCCTAACTGCCACAAGGACCATGTGCTGCAGCAAAGGACCCTAGTACACAGACTTATCCATCATTCTCCCCCTAAGTCTTGTACGTCGTCTTGTGGGAGAGTTGAATCATCCCAATCCTGGAGCAAAGTTCGAGGAACTTGACCCTCCCAAGGGGCTTGGTGAGCAGGTCTGCGAGCTGATCCTTGGTGTTGATGTAGCTCGCCTCGATGCTCCCTTCTTCCACACAGCTGCGAATGAAGTGATACCTCAGTCGGATGTGCTTGCTCCATTCGTGGAACACGGGGTTCTTTGCCAGGGCCAGGGCGGACTTGCTGTCCACCAGGAGCTGCACCGTTCTGGTGTCTTGAACGAGAAGATCACCAAGCAGTCGAGCAAGCCAGAGCGCCTGAGTACAGGCGGTGAAGGCCGCTATGTACTCAGCCTCACAGCTGGACAGGGCCACCACCTGCTGCTTGACTGATTGCCAGCTCACGAGACACTTGCCGAGGAAGAGGAGGATCCCGCTCGTGCTCTTGCTGGTGTCGATGTCGCCGGCATGGTCGATGTCGCTGTACCCGACGAATTGTGCCGCCCCAGGGCACCTAGGGTAATGGAGGCCGTGGTCGAGGGTCCCTGCTATGTAGCGGACGATCCTCTTCACTGCCTGCTGGTGTTCCGACGTTGGTCGCTCCATGAACCGACTGACATAGCCGACGGAGAATGCCAAGTCCGGCCGTGTGTGAGTGAGGTAGCGAAGGCTCCCCACAAGGCGTCGGTACTGCGTAGCATCCACTTCCTCCGTCGTGCTGTCGCGACTTAGTTTCAGCCTCTCCTCCATCGGAGTGAGAGCTGGATGGCAGTCGGTGAGCCCAGCTAGCTCAACGATGCGCTTGGCGTAGGCGGACTGTCGAAGCGCGATCCCGGAGTGGTCCTGGTGCACCTCAATCCCTAGA